CTTTGGGAACTGGTCCAGACCTGGTATTCCTGGGGTCTAGCAAATCCAACACCCCACATGCATTTCCTTCTGTCTCTCCTACAACTTTATCCCAGAAGTCAGAATCTTCCATGGTCTCTTATTGATCCAAGTATCCAAACAGAGAACCTTGGCACACCACCATTTGCCTCATGGCCTGTAGGATACCATGTTCAAAGCATTTTACAACCAGACAGGATCGAACTATGTCTCCCATGTAGCTATAAAGCCTTCCTGGTTGTCTGTTTAAACAGAGCAAGCAACACACACTAAAACTGGAGGTATTCCAAGAACTAGCCACACTGTCCCTTCAGCAGAGAATGAGACCTCAAGGAAAAGAAAACTCTATTCAGTGAAATTTAATCACAGAGAGCTCAGAACAGCCAGGGGTTGTTAATAATGGATACGATTTAAAACTCAAAACTATGCATCAGCACTAGGCAGCAAAAAGCTAGCACATGTAATGACAAGATGGTTGTCCCAGCAGTGCAGGAGTCAGAGAGCTCTGACTGGTCTCTGGTGACTGGTGTCAGCCTTAGAGAGGAACAGAGCATCTGATTAGGAGACCCACCCTTCTCATTGCAGAGGACTTTGTGTTGCCAAGAGCAATTGGCATGGGGGTAAAACAAGAAACTACATCAGGCAACTGCGATGGGAGTTCCCTGCAGAACAGCTGTAGTTAACTAGGAAGCAAATGGCTGCAGTCGAAGATGGGGAGTGCACATGTACTTCTTCCAGTTCTGAGGGAGACGCAGGGCACCATCAGTGCTGCTTACCGGAGTTATAGCTCCACAGACACCCATCGGCTCATGCCTGGTGAAACAGACAAAATTTTCATCTGCAAGACAAAAGAATACAAGACAAAACAGTCAAAATCCTTGCTTCTCCAGAAACAGTGTAAGATGACTGCATACAGGCTGGCGACAGAACTAAACCCATATTAGACAAAGAGCCCTATATCTGTTCATCTTAACTCATGCCTCTAGGACACTCCAGGCAGATGAAGATCTGTTTGAGAACAGGTCTTGTGTTAGCTCAAAAGTCAAACACTGCTGACCGTCACAGTGGAGCCTTTTAAAACCAGGGGTTCAATTCCTTCTGCAAGCTCCCTGTGTTGAGGCTAAGGGGAGAATAACTCCCTACCACACTGAAGAGCACGCACAAATTTCATTCAGATTGTGTCTTGCTGAAAGAAGCAAAGCACTTGCCTTCCTGAGGGGGAGAGTTTTTAAACCCATTTTGTACAGGAATCATATTCAGTGTAACAGGAATTGCACTTCTTAAAAAAAAAAAAAAAAATCACAAAAAGGTGAAACTCTGGGACTAAAGTAATACCATTCATCTTAAAACACTATTACACTTTCAAAGAGAAAGCAAGAAGGGCATTTTCCTTACAAATTCATTCTTGCTGAAAACCTAGTTTCATTGGGAAGATCTGACAGAAAACAAGGACATTTCTAATTACAGTATTTGGAAGTGACCTAAAATCAGGACAAATGAGCAGGATCCAGACAAGCAAAGCTTCACGTTACTCTGAACGAGGGTGACAGATCTAAGTTTCTATGACTGACATTGCTCCCTTTGCAGTCTGCACAGACTGAACTAGTTCAGCCCTTCAGAGCCACTTCTTCTGGTGACTGATTTTGGTCTGCAGTGCCTGTCCTTCACACAGCCTCAGTGATCACCCACACGCAGAGACAAAACAGGCTGATTTTGAAAATGCACCATATTGCTCATCGTGCCACATGGACATCCATTGTCTTAACTTGCTCTCCCCAAAACCATATTTGAACTTATATAGCTGAGCCAAAGTGTTCTCCCTGGCCCTGCCACAACAGTGCGGTGTGACTGCTCTGGCTCTGCAGCATTTTGAAAAACTTCTTTCAAGTGTCCCAAAACTTCACAGAGTCCCTCCGGGAGCTCAGTGCTTTGGCTGCTGAGTCAACATCTCAAACCTTCTCTTTAATAAAAGTTAAGAAAAAGCACTACACAATCTCTCCAAACATCTGTGAGCCAGCACTGTCAGTGACGCGGGAACATCGGTGAGGTGGGAGACACTGGTGGATTCGACATCAACCCTCCGACACGTACCTGTGTCATCTAGGACAGCACAAGCTCGCTGGCTTCATACAATTCTCCCTAGCAACCTCTGTCCTTACACTCTCCAACATCTTAATTCATTTCAGTGGTACCTAATGAATAAACTCCCCTATAACGTGTGGATTTTTTTGGTTTAAGAATTAGTCTGAATTTGAAAACAAAAAGATTTCTCTGTTTAAAAAAGCAACAAAAGATGCCAGCCATTATTTTCCAGAGATCTATCCAGGCATTCACACTGTTCTCCCACTAGTTTAAATCTTGAAACACATCAACTTAAAATGCACCCGGAGATAGAAAGGAAATGCAGGCTATTTTTGCAGGTTTTCAGAGGCCGGCCTTTCCATGCATTCCCCTCCCAGCAGGCCTCCCTCCCACCCCCTCAAGCCTGTTCCCATTCCAGCTCTGAAACTGGGTCTGAAGGAACTTACCCACTGGGATAGTTCTGCCCTGGATTTTATCAGCCCATCCAGCATAATATCGGAGTGTTTTTATACAACCTTCCAGGTCAATAAAATAAGCCTGCAGGAAAGGTTTTCCTGTGTCCATTGTTTCCAGAGTCTGAAAAAAGCAAATTGCATGCAATGTCAGACAAATCGATGGGTTTTTTTCTTAAAAAAAAAGCTTTTAGAGAAACTCCTTCTCAATTTTATTTTGCCTTGTGCTGCAGGCATGGGGTTTCCTTCCCTCCCCTTACATTTAAGGAACAAGCTTGTCAACACAAACAAAGCAAAAGGGAGACTAGACCAAATAACCCTGGTGCACACAGAAGTTGCTTTGTTCAGTGACTTCAATAAAAGAGCATCTTCCAAAAGCCCCTAGAAGGTGGCTGTGGGTGGGATACAGGGCTGTGGTCTGGGGCACTGGTCAGAAGTGGTGTGAGTGTCATGACTTCACTGGAACTGACCCTCCGACACAGATGTCCTGGATTCCAGATGGTGTCACTGCAATCAGTCAGACCCACTTTCCTTTTATTTGGAAATCTATTTTTTCTACTTCATAGCCCTAAAACCAACCCCTGAAAAGCCTCTTTTATCCACAGGATGATAGAAACCACATTTTTTACAGAGCTCTAGTAAAGTAACCTTTGGGCTCAGATCTGTGCTGAGACTAAAGCAATGGAGAAGTTGCTTCACTAAAGCTGCACTGATGCTGAGCAGCTCTAAATGAAGTTCAGTCTCTGCCTGTGTCCTTCTCTCTGTTCTGGACATTAGCTCAGTGAATGCTTTGTTCTGTGCTCAGGTCATTAAATGTGCAAATGGCCAGCACATCCATAAAGGAAGTATTATCCCTTGGTACATTGAAACATCTTTGTTTACATATGAAGTCATACCCTGTCATCTTCCACAGACATTAGGGTCCAAACAGCACTCAAACAGACATTCCCCTTGGAATGACTAGGATTGTTATCCACTCTGAACCTCTGCTAAAACAACTGATTTTTATAAGTCATTACTTAGCATGCAGCCAAGGCAGCTATGGCTGGTTTTCTGCAGTGAAAATAACAATGCTGAAAAAGCCCTCCCAGATTAGAAAGACACAGAAAGCTTGAAATGGGTGTCCCAGTTTAAGGAAGAAGGAGGGTTCTCTGAAGACACATCAAAAAGTGAACAGAAAATGAGCAGGGTGTATTCACACACACTTATTTTTTTCTCCCTTTTATTTGCTGGCTAGAACTGCCTTCAGACCTGGATTTTTTGGTTCTGT